ATATGGATTCATAAAGGCAGTGGATCCGAGCTCCTGGAGCTCAATCATGCCTAGATCTAAAGGTTAATCAGCTTATCACAGACCCTAGTTCATACCCAAGCTTGGAAATGGCTCAAGAAGGACTTTAATGGAGCTCTAAGGGACTATAAGCATGATAACAGAGGGAAACTGAGTTATACCTCAAGGAAATCTCTGAAATAACACCAAGATGCCTGGCCTCCTTCCTCTCCTCTTGATCTACTCTCCTTTCTCTCTCAAAGTCTTCAAGAAATCACACCAAGCACTTCAATTCACAAGGAACGATGTTAGAACGATATAGGGGGCTCTGAGGGTGAACGGGGGCGAGCTTGGGGCGCATAAGGTTGGTTTAAATAGGGTGCAAACCCTTGGAATTAGGGTTTCACCAGACAGCGGGGACTCGCCGAGTCCAGAATATGGACTCGCCGAGTCGCCAACTTAAACGTGTTCCATGTCCCGGCTCTACTCGGCGAGTCGGGCCTACAACTCGCCGAGTCCAAGGCTAAAATGCAAAATACTTAGATAAATTTACATAGCAGGAACCAGGTGCTACATTTTTAATTTTTATTATACATTTATTCGTTTTTAAATTAAAAAAATAAAAATAAACATTCCAACCCCCTTCCTTTTCCCCAGTTCATTCTTTGTTTTTCGGCTTCTCACCCACTCCCGATAACCACCTGTCCTTTTCCTCTCTCTGACGAGACTAACCAGCTAAAACTCATTTGTTTTCCCTTCCTTCATATCACCATCATCCATCTTAAACAACCATCTGGAAACCACCAACAATTATAGGGAATCTCCACCACCTCCGATTACCGTCAATCTCCACCACCTCCACCATTGATGAACCCTATCTTGATTATCAAACATTTAACCAAAAACCTGAATTCATATATGAAAATTAAACCCTGCCTAAATCTTGAACCCATTAAGATTTACATTTAGATCAGAAACTCAAACCCAGATCGGAAAGTTGAACACCAGAAACCACCGCCTCTTCGTCTCTTCACGTGATATTAGGGTTTCAAGCGATGATGTTAGGGTTTCTGTGCAGATCTATGGTGTTGGGCCGGCTCATTGGTGGCGATAGTCGAACGGAGTGTTGATTTAGGAATTACCTTCTCAGATGATATTGCAGATCTCACATTGATTGATGATTAAGAAATCAACAAGGAGATCTGCACCTATGGAGGTAAGAACCCAGTTGGGGTAAGTCGCTACATCGGTCATATCGTTTGTTATTTGTGAACTTCTGTGTGATGCATATGGGTTGCGTGTGTGATTGCGTCAGTAAGAGCGAGATAACCGTAAGAAGAAAGAAGAAGGTGGCGGTGGAGGAGGACGCCATTGGAGGAGAGTCGGAGCTCTGGTTGTGATCTGTGAAACACGAAACGGGAAAAGAGAAAAATAATTAAAATTCCTTTTCTAGTGATGGTGTAGATTACCGGTGGTGGTGCTGTAGATTGTTGGTGGCTTGGTGCTGTGTTGGTCAAGTGTTCTTCAGCAAAATAGAGAAATAATTTAAATTATTTTTAATAATTAAAAATAATCAAAAAATGTTAAAAATAAATGAAAATGAAAAGGGCATTATAGTCCTTTCAAGTCTCGGAAGGGATGAAATGCGTAAAGTTAAACTAATTAGGGATGAAGCGTGCACTTTTTAATAATATGAAGGACGGTCCGAGTTAATTTTTGAAAATAGGGACTAATTGTGCATTTTGGCATATGCACGAGGGACGATCGGTGTAATTTACCCTATTCTTTAAGAATGAAAGAGTGAAAATATGTTTTCATGTATACTGAATGACACCACATTCTAGATGTTTTTTGATTTAATTTGAATGTGTTGAATATAAAATAAGATTTGATTTAATTTTTATTTATTAGTTTGACTTAATTGCCTAAAATGTTGGTAGTTTGCATTTCTCTCTCTTAAGAAAATGTCATATTTGTCCTTATAATTAATTAAATGTAATTATATAGTAATTGCTAGTCCATATTAATGTCATGCACCCTCAGATTACATCATTTTATTCTTTTAAATCTAACTGTATACATTCACACAATACTGCTTGTTGTTCACATTTGATCCTAAACCTATATATATATATATATATATATATATATATATATATATATATATGCCTACTAAAACGAAAACCACAGATCAATGAATCACAACTGCTCAGATGTTGTGAGTAATTATCTGCATCAAAAAACTATCGACTTCATTGTTCGGATGCTAAGCATTATACATCACCGATCTCTCTTCCTAGTCGCCCATGGCCACGATTACATGTATGTATTGTCATATACTTGTTTCTTTTGTTTTAGATGTATTCATCTCTCCCGTGGTTCATCATCTATGTGTGTGTCTCAAAATCGAAGTTTTAGCCATGTGGTTAGTTTTTCATTCTCGATTTGAAAATTATGAACTTAATTTTTCATCGTGTCAATATTTCAAATTATAAAGTATTACATTTAAAATAAATTTGATTTTTAGATATAATTAGATAATTTGGAGTTATAGTTTGTCTTCAAAGACTCAAATAAAATAATTAGATTTTTTTAGAAAATAAAATTGGTTAAATGAAATGAAAATTGTTCACATATAGGTTATATGTCAATATTAATAATGTTTGCAATACTTTATTATTAAAATAATAGAATGCTCTTATATGTTTTCAAAATAAATCTATTGAATTACTTATATGTAAAGTTTGATCATATAGTAGAATAATTATTTACGCACAAACGTGGTCCAAGTAATTTTAATTCATACATGTTTTTGGTTTGAACATATCCATTTCGCAATCATGGCAATCTATATACATTTAACTAGGATAACATGTTTTTGGTTTGAACATATCCATTTCACCCCATGCTGATTCAATCTAGGTATGAGATTTAAAATCGGAAAACTGGACCGCAACCGAACCTTTAGAACCGGAATATATAGAAACCATCCAAGTTCGGTGTTTAAAAAATGGTTTTATCCGATTTTCGGGTAATGTGACGCACTACAAGAAAAATTCTTGATAGCTATGGAAAGTTGCTACGAAATCAAAATCTTTAGCCATTATACTACGGAATATGCTACGAAATAGCTTGTCGTAGCTATTTTGCTAATGAAGTGGTTACTGAATTGCATTCCATATCTAAATCAGGAATAGCTACGGAAAGCTGCTATAGAATCAAAATGCATAGTTATTCTACTACGAAATATGCTATATTATGGCTGGTGTGAGCTATTTTTCTTCGAAAATGGCTACGAAATTATATTCATCAACTAAATCTTAAATAGTTGTACCCCTGTCCCCGCCCCCGCCTCCGAACTCTATGCTTCATTATGACTGGTGTGAGCTATTTTTCTTCGAAAATGGCTACCAGATTATATTCCTCAACTAAATCTTAAATAGTTGTACCCCTGTCCCCGCCCCGCCCCGCCTCCGAACTCTATGCTTCATTATGGCTGGTGTGAGCTATTTTTCTTCGAAAATGGCTACGAAATTATATTCCTTAACTAAATCTTAAATAGTTGTACTCTTGCCCGTGCCCCCGCCTCCGAACTTGTATTCCCTAACTTTTATGGGTAAGGAAATGAAAGTAAATTGTTATTATGGGTGAAGAATAAAGTAAGTTGCTATTATGGGTAAAAAAATAAAGTATATTTTAAGTGACAAGAATGAGCAAAAAAAATGGAAATGAAAGAAGAATCTGGACATAAGGTTGCAAGAGTACAAATTTCAAATCAGTTAGAAACTTCCCTCTATGTGCTTATTTCCAGAAAGTTTGGTTGGTCTACAAACATGGATACGAACATGGAAAGGATAAACTTTATTTTTCTTTTATAAAAACAATCACCGCCGCATTTTTTATTTTTTATTTAATTGTGAAATCCTAGGTTTATGAAGACACAATTAGAGAATCTTCTATCTTGGACTTCATGAGATTAATCCGAATATCCAATCAATCATTTAGACATTGACCGTAAGATTTACTTTAAAAATATTTTTTTAATAATGCAATATATGATTATAATTTTTTTTATGAATCATGTAGGCGGCTTGGAGGTGTGATGTTGATAAGTTATTGATCTTTTATATGATACTACCTTGATTTCTAGTGGTTTCACTTCGACCGAGTGATTATTGTGATTTACATTTTGGTTGATTTGTTAAAAATGTTAAGTATAATTAAAAAAAATGGAAAAATTGAAGTTCATTCAGTTTTGGTAGTTATTACTATACAACGAATTGGTTTTTAATCAAGTTAATTGTAATTTTTTTTTGCAGGTCTTACGATTTTGGATGAACACATTTAGTTGTTTGTGTGTTCGTGGTGGTTTAGGAAACCGCTTGCTACGGAACAAATGACTACGGATATGCTACAGAACAAATAGCTTCGGAATTTGCTACAAAACAGATAGCTACGTAATTTGCTAGGGAATAAATGGCCACAAAATTTGCTACGGAGAAAATGGCTATGGAATTTGGTACAGAACGAATGGCTACGGAAAAATGGCAACGGAATTTACTACGGAACAAATAATTACGAAATTTGCTATGAAAGCCACTGATATGAAATTATTATGAAAATGTGTTAGAATAAAATCGCCAATTGCAATCAAGATTCCATCATAATCATATATCAAACATCCTTTTAGGAATTTTCCTAGGTTTTTGTTTGTATTAATATAAATTTTCTTTAGTTGTAACTTTATTCAAATTTTTTTTTTCTAAAATATGTGTTTGCTCCATCATACGCGTAGAAACATAGGAACAACAAGAAAATAGTTGCCACGTGTAATAAAATTCAATTGAAAGTAGATTATTTAATTTTGATTTTTTACTTTTATTTAACGAGGGAAGAACTTATTCGACCTATAACTGTTGTCACGTGTCAACAAAATAGTGGAACAACAACAATGACCCCACTCTTTAACCTCCGGGATTTCCCCATCGTCACACCAACGGAAACGATAGGTGAATCTCCATTTATCTCTCTCACACACAAACACACAAAAACACACACTCTCAAAATCCTCATTTCTTTCGCATTTTGCAAAGATTTCAAGCCTCTGATTTCTGTCTTTAAAGCTCCGTATTTCTCGCTCGAATCTCCTTCAATCCCCTAACCAGACTACAGAAGAAAGTTTCCAAAAATGGTTGCGAAGTGTCTGGATTCATTAAGAACCGACTAGGGTTTTAGTTACTTAAAACCTCAACTTGCTAATGGAATTTGTATGAATTATAATTGAGTTTTCGACAATGACATTAAATTCCGGTGCGCCGCGTCCGCCGTTTGCATTGCGGTTACGGGAAGCAGATTTTCTTCCCACGGTGTTACTCCAGCGGAAGCTTTTGATTCTACGAGGTGATTTCAGGTTTAAATGTTGCTGTTCCGATAAGGTTGTGCCGATTCGGAGTGTTGTTACTGGTGCCGGACGTAAGGGTGTGGATAAAATTGAAGAATGGCCGAGTGATTTGAGCAAGAGGGTTCATAAAGTTCGAGTACAAGCTTCATCTGCATGGTCTTTTGCTTCATCTCAGTATGTTCGCTTCTTTTAGTTAACGTGTGTGTATAATTGCTATGTGATGGTGATGGTGAGGTAATAGGCACCATTGTACTAATCAATGCTCCAGTTTAATGGACATCATAATTTATTCAATTTGATTGTCCCCCTTTCTCTGCCCTCTTTATCGGCTTTTGTAACAAATCTTAATTGAATAATTTTTTTAATGAATTAATTCTGCCTTTTAGCTTGAAAAAAGTGACAATTTGGCGGTTTGACATCTCAAATTGTTCAATTTTTGGGATTGACAATTGGATATGAAGCATTACTCCCTAGATTTTGCAAAAAGTGTCTATTTTATATATTTAATGGCCGAATTAATACATACTAAATTCGTTGTTACCATGAAATTTCAGGCATTCATCATTTTGATTGTTGTGTTACGATAGTGTTTCAGTGGTTTCATCTAAGCAACATAACTCAATCTGCCATTCAATTGAAATTCACATGTGATATTATGTTATTCAAAACATCAATCTCCACAATTCATAACTGGGTTTTGGTCTACTTCACTAATATGAGTGAAATGGCATTTTGTGCAAAACATCATAACATAATTCTATAAATGGCATGTTATTAATATTATATTTGCTATCTTTAACAAAACTTCAACCTTATATCTAGGTAGGTTGATAATCTTGATTCTTTTGTAGTACTTGACTCTGTCTCTTGCCTTTTGTGCTTATATATCATAAGCTATTTTATGCTAAAGACATAAACTTTGAAGTAGTAAAGTTGTTCATTGGTGATTGTTGAGATACAAAAAATATACGTGTTCTTACTTCTTATACATAAATTCTTTATTCAAAACTCATCTCCAATTAAATAATGATATTTCAATTGTGAGCACTTAAAATTGACTCAATTGCTGGTTGAAAACTTGAGGTTTTACTTGCTTTCTGAATTTCTGATTGCTGCAGACCTCAGCTGGCTTCAAGACAAGAAAAGTTTTTTCCACGTTGTACCCCTAGAAATTCTGGCCCACAGTCTCGCGACACTCCACCAAAAAGAGGTAATGATTGTGTATTATTTATAGCATCCTACTTTCATATTTTTCTATTACAGCATTGTACTTTCAATTATTTTCTTCTGCCCACTTATAGCATTGTACTTTCAATTGTTTTTCATTCTTACTACATCAATGAAAATTGCTTTGTAATTGGGTAGATTTTTTAAAGTAGGATGCTGTAATAAACAAATTCAATGAAAGTATGTTGCTATTTTCTTGAATCTAACCCCTGGAGTTTACTGGTTTATTAATGTTAGATACGGGTATTGCAAATGAGAAGGACATGGGCATCAATTTGTTAACTGAAGATGTTAATGAATCTAGCATTAATGAGGATGGTAGTAGCTGGTATAGAGAAAGTGGAGAGGACTTGGGTGAAAATGGATATAGATGTAGATGGACAAGGATGGGTGGTCAAAGCAGTGATGCCTCTTCAAAATGGAAAGAATCGGTATTACTATTTTAATTCATGTATTTAATAATTTATAGTAGATTATTTATATGTTACTTTTCTTGAAAGTTGAAACTAAGACAGTGGTTTGTAAGAATGTTTCTATTATGGGTTGCCTCTTCTGGTATTAAGAACATGCTATTAAAAAGGAAAACATGTGACCCTAAGTAATTCTGAGTTATAGTGGTTATGATTGGTTTGTTTTGATGACCTTGTGAAGTATGATCCCAGGTGGATAGATTTAACTGGATTTATTGATTCTCCTTGACAGTGGTGGGAGAAAAGTGACTGGACTGGATACAAAGAGCTAGGTATCCATCCTATTTACTATTTACTATTTACTACTTGTTGATATTCTAAAATTTGGTAATTTGTAGGTGTTGAGAAATCTGGAAGAAACTCTCAAGGGGATTCATGGTGGGAAACATGGCGAGAAGTTATTCACCAAGATGAATGGAGGTTAAAAATTATTGTATTTGCATTCTAAATCTAAATATTAATTACCAAAACTATTTTCTTAGCAATTTCGAAATGTAGTAATATAGCAAGGATAGAAAGAAGTGCACAAAAACAAGCAAAATCAGGCACAGAAAATGCTGGATGGTATGAGAACTGGTATGGATTGGATTGGTGCCTTTATTTTATGTTACCATGACATACTTTCATGAGGAGGGTATTTATGTCTTTTGCACAAATGAGTCTCTGTCCTACCTTGTTCCACCTTTTTGGGTTGGACAAAAACATGACAATCTTTTGTCCAATAGTCAATGAATGCCAAATGCAATATAACCTGTTGTGTCTTGTCCTGGGGACTAACAAAATCAAAAAGGTAGTATCAAATTAATTATGTTTAATAATAATGATAATAATGTAGGTGGGAAAAATATGATGCGAAAGGGTCGACAGAAAAAGGAGCAAATAAGTATGGTAGACTAAATGAGCAGTCATGGTGGGAAAAGTGGGGAGAGCATTATGATGGAAGGGGATCCGTTCTTAAATGGTATGTATAATGTAATGGAATTATATTTTACGAATGAATGCTTTGGCTTTGGAATTCGAGATTCCATTCCCTGACATGCTTGGTTGCCAAATCGATGGAATTGAATTCCGTTCTGTTTTCTGTCAAGATTTCAATTTCTTTAGCTTCCAATTCCTTTGACAGATTCCATTCATTTAAAAAAATCTTTTTTGTTTGTTTGTTTTTCTCAGGACAGACAAATGGGCTGAGACTGAAATTGGGACGAAATGGGGAGACAAATGGGAGGAGAAGTTTTTTTCTGGTGTTGGATCTCGTCAAGGAGAGACATGGCATGTCACTCCTGCTGGTGAACGTACGTCTCATCCTTCAGTTTACTCTTGATTATTAGTAAAAACGTCTAAAATGCCCTTCAATATTCTGGATCTACCTACATGTGTATACTAGGATGCTCACCATGTAACCTATGTAAACATTTAATATGTTGATTTATTTATTTATTTATTAATTTGTTATGTATAATAATTAGAATCCTTGCATTGATATATTATCAGGATGGTCAAGGACATGGGGTGAAGAACACTTTGGGAATGGGTACTTATCAAATTATTCACCAACCTTTATTTTATTTATATCATCTCGTGATCTCACGATGTTTATTTTTATTTTTATTTTTATTTTTTCCTTTTCTACTTTTTATCAGAAAGGTGCACAAATATGGCAAAAGCACAACCGGGGAAAGTTGGGATATCGTTGTAAATGAGGAAACGTATTACAAGTAAGTCCCTGTTTATTTATTTATTTATTTATTATTATTATTTTATATATATGAAAGTACGTTGCTATTACGAATTTATGAGCTTTGAACTTTTTTTTGTGTATTTGATTGAAGGGCGGAACCTCACTATGGATGGGCTGATGTAGTTGGTGACTCGACTCAATTGCTATCCATACAACCTCAAGAGAAACCGCCAGGTGGCTATCCGTATCCTGACTTCGGATCCTTTCCACCACCACCTCAAGGCAGAGATCCGCCATCGATGCCGCCAAGAAATCAATGAAGTGTAATAGGTTTCTAGAATCATCTGTATTATTTAGCTCTCGTTTGTAATCAGCATTTATTCTTGCATGTAAATGTCTTAGATTTGCAATTTTGGTTATTTAAATGGAAAATTTTGTCAAGTAAAGACTTCTTGTTTCAAAAAAGGGTAAATGATTTGAGAGGGTAACAAACTTCTCATTTTTGTAAACATTTAGGTGCTGTTTGTTTTTTTGAAGCGAAAATTCATGAAGTCTGCGGACCACCTCTGCAATCCTCTGCAGCAGAAGAGGTGGAACAAACGGCTGCAGCCCATAATAAGAAACATGTTTGTTTTTTAACATCTGCAGACTGTTGCAGTAAACTGAAATTTAAATAAACTAATTTTATAAACTTAAAATAGTTCTCAACACCGAAATTTTAATAATTCTAGTCTTAAAACATTGAAAGAGTACTAAAAATAACATGTAAAAAAACAAAAATATAAAACTTTTTTTAAAAAAAAACTTACAAAAATATAAAAGAAGCTAACAGTTTTATTCTAGAAAAAAAAACTAATTTTAAAAAACATCAAAAAGAAAATAATAAAAAAAATTAAGAAAGTATTGCAAACGATGTGTACAAAGTTCGTAAAAAATTACACACGTTAAAAAAGATGAAACTGAAAATATTATTAACGGAAACGGTAAAAAAATTAGAAAAATCAACGGTTTTTTTTTTAAAATCAAGTTAAAAATTTTGTGGAAACTATAATAAGAAATTGTATCAAATCCGTAAATAAAAGTTTTTTTTTAATGTTTAAAAAAAATAAGTTATACCAAAATTATAAAAAAAACTTCAAAAAAATGAAAGCTGAAGAGGTTTGAAGAGGCAAGTCAAGTGCTACATAAATTACGAGATATTACATATAGCTGGCAAAAACTGACATGACACACTAACCCTACACAAAACCGATATGAAATAAAAAAGTTTTATTAAGAGATTGCAACCCCTTTAACTAAACAGACTGACACAACACACACAAATAAAATAGGTAAGGTTAGGTTCAATATCTTTCAACCCAACACGACACAACACATTTACAAGGTCTAAACCCTAAACAATATAACCCGACATAAACTTAGCACGAAATAAACGAGTTTTGGTAAAAGATTTCTACTTGTTTAGTAAATATGTTATACACCACGACACAATAATTAAACATATAATATTAGGGTCTAAAATTTTCAACCCTTTATTTTCAACCCACCATGACATGACACGTGTACTAGATTTAAATAGTATATGAAACCGAATGTATTTGATTAAAAAAAATACGAAAAACTTCCTTATTAAACTAAACATGCAAATTGATACATATTTGGGGGACGAAATTGTACTTCACTAAAAATACAATACCGCTGCTGAGTGCTGTGCGGGTGGATTTTTGGATTTTAGGAGTATTTCAGAAAGTTTTATAGATTGTAACTTCGGTTCCCGCTTTCGTTCGTCTTCAATCGCCCTCTAATCACACGTAAGTTTTCTGCTCTGAATTCGTGTTTCTTTATGTGTATTTATTGACTAATATCTACAAGCTATGTTGTTTTTAAATGTAATTTTGCTATAATTTGTTAAATCGAACTTATAGCACTGTTTAAAGTTGAGATTTTTTCGAATTAGTATTTTTCATAGCTAATTGTTGAATTCCTAGTGGAAAATCAGTTGGTATGCGTGGAAGAATCTGCAGATATCTATTACTGATAAACCCTAAAGTTCAAACCCTAGTAATTAGCAGAAAGATGTTATTACTTCCTCCGTACATGTAAAACCTAAAGACGAACTTTGACGACTTGTTATGTTAGGTTAAATGATTCCAGCTTCTGACTGTGAAATCCATTGCTTTTTCTAGGAGACTTTGATGATTATATTGCAAATATCATAAAAACTTACGTATATAAACCTATAAGCGCTAAGATAAACATCGTATTGAAGAGTAGAATTGATTTGAAAAATCTCAGCATAGGGTTTTGCTACTCCCTCCATGTGGACGGAATAATATATATCGTTTTCAAGAGAATCTTGGCAATAGATTACAAGCTTATAATAAATAATACAATTAGGCAAAAGCTGGACTTAAATTTGTAGCACAGTTGATGCAACTCATCTCTCTTGAAGTACAAGGTTTGACATCGAATTCACATTGTATGTTTTATTCTCAATATGCACTAGTCTTGCTAGTTGTAATTCATAACCATATATCATGCCCTCTCTTGTTATGATTGTAAGAAAATTGTTAAGTTCAGAAATAAATGATCAATTCCCTATACAAGTTTCAAATACAATCTTATAAATTGGGTATATATGCTAATGAAACTATCTATACCCTACAAAAGTTTATAGGTGAGTGGTGATCTTGAAAGATGGCTATTGATGAAGAAGAAACCATAGAGCAAGCAGCAGCAGCTCGACGTGAAAGGCTGAAAGCTTTGAAAGCTGCTCAACAACTTCTTGAAAATCCTGAAGAAGATGGAGCACCCAATGATAAGGAAGATGAAAATGGAAATGATGATGAAGAAAAGTAAGCATCCACAATCCTTTCCCTTTTCTGCCTTTCAATTTAATTTTGATATATATTGCTCACTAGAAAACAAATGACATATAATTTGTTTCAAAATGTACTGTTTTTACAGAATAAACAGACATTAAATAGTGCAAAGTGAGGTTTTCTGTATAAAGGCAGGGTAAATGCTAACAAACTACTGAATTTTTTTTACAGTGATGTTAATGTGAAATTCCGAAATTACCTTCCTCATGATAAGCAGCTTCAAGAGGGTAAACTTGCTCCACCAAAGTTACCAAAGTTTGAAGACCCTGTAGCTAGTGAACCTCCAATTGAAGAGGAAAAGAAGGTAAATTTTGATGTTTATTTTAATTATCCTTCTTTTGATTTGATTTTCATTTTATGTAGTAATATAATGAGTTTCTCAAATGTTTTCCAGGATCCTTTTTTGAACATTGCCCCCAAAAAGCCAAACTGGGATCTTAGAAGGGATGTACAGAAGAAACTTGATAAGCTTGAAAAACGCACACAAAAGGCCATATTTCAACTTATGGGTATGTAAATCTATGCTATTTATTTATTTAATTATTTATTTATGATTTCTATTAATTCTCTTGTTGAAGGTAATGTTTGGCATGTCACTTACATCATGTTGTACATTTTGCAGAGCAACAAGAAAAGGAAAAGCAGTTGGCTGAAGAAGATGGCAAAGATGATGATTCTGGGAACTAGAAAACAACTTCATGTGTACGAATCAACAACTTTAAGGTAAACAGTTGCAAACTAAAATTTAGTTTATTAAAGTTGTAACAGTTTTTAGTAACAGTGTTACTTAAATAGGAAAAAAAACGAAAAACTTTGAGCTTGTATTTAGGATTTTTGAAGGAACATATTTCTCTCTTGGGGAAAAAAAACGAAAAACTATGTTGGCTATGGCTCTAATCTTAACAGACTTATGTTTCTGTTGCATATGTTTATCTTTCTTTGTGAAGGTTAAAATGGTCATTTACTCGAATTTTGATGGTGTTTTCGTTCCAAAAAAAAGAAACTGTTTTTGTGTATACAATACTTAATGTAACACCTGTGTTTTGGGGCTAGAAGTTTTAGTATATAAAGTATAAATAATTGAAATTTTAATAAAATACAAATAATTAATTCTAAGGAAATAAATAAATAAATAATAAGTAAATGAAATAAATAATAAAAAACCCAAAATGATAAAGAAATAACCATAACAAAAATAAAACTGACCCGACCCATGGGGTTAAAAACCGACCAAAATCTGTCCAAAACAGACCCACCATATATATTATTTAGTACTTATTATAATTTAAATATTATTGATATTTACTATATATATTTTATCTTTAAGAAAAATGAAAAAACTCTTAAGTCTTATAGGTGGTTATTAGTTAATAGTTCTTTCAGTATTTAAATTGGATTTAAACACGAAAACCCAAAAAACTATGAACCCACAAACCCACGGGTTCAAACCGAAACCGAAAAGCTGTAAAACAAACCCATACAGAAACCGAACCCCCATGGGTTTTGTAACCGAAAAAACCCACTTCTATGGTTTGGATTCGGTTTTAGCCAAAATCAGACCGATGCTCATCACTAATCGTCTCGTCTTCATTTAGGAACCAAGGGTTTTGAATCCTTGCAAATTCGTGATTCTATGGTGGAAGTGATGATAGATGAATATCTATAGCTTATGTTCGACCATTAATTCACCGATCTATCTTCATTTCCATTGCTTGATTACATCTTCATAAGAGATTTGGGAAATTATGAATCATAAATTTCTGGTCAATCTAGCTTATCCTAATCTCAAATGATGTTAACTAATACTAGATTATCCTAATCTCAAATGATGTTAACTAATACAAAATATTAGACTAGTGGCTTCTAAATTGTGAGTGAAATGATTTGAAGGTTATGCTGAGATTATGTATTCTTTTGATGTGTTTGAACTTTGAATCTAGAACTTCATTTGAATTCAATCTACTTTGTGATTCTAGTCTGAATTGATCAACTGGAATAATTATTTCGAGATCTGAATATATTTTGGTTCATTAGCGCTTTGAAATGAACTTTTGAACTCATTTGGAGAATTGTGGAAAAAACTAAGGGTGCGTTTAGTTACGGAAAAATGAGTTGTTTTTTGGAAAAAAATTCTAAGAAAAATGATAATTTTGAAAACGTGTTTAGTTCAACATTTTTTTTGAAATTTTCACAAAGAAATGTTTCTGTTTTCCAAAATTTTAAAAAACTTAGAAAATTTTAGAAAACTGATAATTATTGTTTTCAATATTTTTCTAATTCCAGAGTTTTCTAGAATATAAACACACATTCTCTCACGCCGCCATTCCACCCCAACCAATATCCACCCACCCATCCACTCCCATGCCCCCACCCCCGCCACACTACCATAATCACCGATCCGCCATCACCACTACCACTAGCCCATCATCGTTGTCATCATCATCACCACCACCACCGCCCCTCCATGTTGTCCTCTGCGTGCCATGGTGGTGGGGAAGATCAGAAGGGCGGGCTCTGACACCAACTAATGTAGGCCGTGATATAGAAATGAATAAACGCCAATAAAGGATAAGAATTCATAGTTTTTATATTCAGTATTTCAAAAGCCAACCCACATTATTTCAATTCTGATTCTTATAGCAATGAAAAACGCCCTTGACAGCTAAACAATCAAGGATGTCAACCCACGTTTCCATATAAGAAAGTCCAATAAACTCTGCATCATGACCACCGCCACGACCCCTATCGCGACCACCATCACCGCCACTGCCACCACCACCATTTCCCACCCGCCCACCTCCACCTTACCACCATCACCGTTTTCTAAAAATGAAACCGATAAAAAAAATACACATCTAAACACTTTTTCTAATTTTCTAAAACAAAAAACAAAAAATAAATAAAATTGTAACTAAATTTGTTTTCTAAAATCTCTAATGAAAATTGATTTCATTTTTTTGAAAAATGAAAATGGAAAATGGAAATTGTTTTTCCAAGGTTGCTTATGGAAAAAACAGTTTTCGTTTTTTGTTTTCAATTATTAGAAAAATGAAATAAAATTTTCATTTTCAGTTTTCATTAGAAAATTTAAAAAATGCGTTTAGATAAACTTATTCATTTTTCGTTTTTGTTTTAGAAAACTAGAAACAAGGAGATACCTTTGGTAAAGGTTCAGTGACAACATCGGAAAGGCTCCAAGTGGACCTGGGAGTCGTAGGCGGAGATGTGAGAGCATTACTCGGAATTGTTCGCAGCGGCGGACTTCGATGGCAAAGTCTAGTTCAAGTGGGGGAGAACTGTAACATCCCGATGATGATGTAATATCAATTTTAAACATATGTATGAAGAAATATTGTAATCTAGTCCCTATGCATGAGAAGGATTGCAAAATGGCCTATAGTGGCATTTTGGTAATTTTAGGCCGAGACTTCGTATGCTGGGCGTACACTTCGTATGCAAGGCGTACGGGCGAGGAGTGTAGTACGTTGGGCGTACACCGTATACGCAGGGCATACGTGCGAGGGTGTCAAACCCTAAAATTTAGGGTTTGAACCTTATTTAAACATCCTTATGGCCTCAAGACCTTCACCCTCATCAACCTCCATCTGAAAAATCGTCCCTCTAGCTAACCCTAAGTGAGAAGAGTGCACTTTGATCTCATTTGTATGTTTTGGTGGTGTTCGTAAAGAAAAAGAAGTTGATAGAAGGACATTGGAGCTTGGAAGAAGCTTGGATCTGAGATTCTCTACTTGCTAGCAACCTCCAGAAGGTAAAAAGCTCCTAGCTTGATCGTATTTTGTCATGGATCTAGTTATCCCTTCATTTAAGGCATTTTTGCTCCCAACCTTTGTGATTATTGAGCATGGCATGCTCTTGATCAAATAAGTTGTCCTTTCAGACCCCAATGAAGGTTATTGAGTCATAAAAATGAGATCTTGATGCTTAGTTCTTCCCCATGCATGCTTTAGGAGGTCTTTAAGTGTTAAGAAATTAAGTTTGTTGATATTAAGCACTTAATGGGAATGAAAAGTCATAAAGTTGGAAACTTTATGAGTCTCAGTGGTATTTTGGCCTTGGATCTGCATTTGGACGTGAAAAGTTGAAGTATTAAGCTCTTAAGAGGTTAAGATGGAAAACTGTTGTGTACGCTGGGCGTATCAAATGGTAAACTGCGCGTACGAAGAATGAGCCCCGATGCCTCGGACCACGAATACGCCCTACGTACACCCGAAGTACGCCCCGCGTACGAGGCCTGGGTTGACTCGACTGAGTTGACTCAGCTGTTTTGACTTGGTTGGGTTGACCCTGTTGATTTGTTGATTTTGACCAGTTTTGACCAAGGGTATTTTGGGAAAATAATTATTTATTCAGAATGAGAAATGATTTGATATTTAAGAGTCGGATAGAGCCGGTTGTCGGAGCAGGGAATTATTCAGACCGCATGCAGACTGAGAGGTGAGTTTTCCTCACAGTACCTGTGGGTCGAAGGTACCAATGCCAACCCACTAGATTATTTATCATGGTTAGGATGGTATTATGCTAGTTTGTAGCTGATTAGTAGATCTGTATGATTATCTGTATTTGCTGGTTCTGTGTTGGGTTGAGGTTATACTTCTTTGTGCGGTAGCCAACAAACCCAGAGCAATCCAAACATAAGCTGTAGGCCTCGAGGGCAATCCAGACTTATGCTGTGGGCTCGGGAGTAATCTAGATATGAGCTGAGGGCCCGATAGACGTGCTAGACTCATATTGTGGGCTTAGGGGTAATCCAGTCTTTTAAGCTATGGACCCAGTATATGTTGTTATATATATATATATATATATATATATATATATATATATATATATATATATATGTGTGTGTGTGTGTGTGTGTGTGTGTGTTTTGGGGGAAACTCACTAAAGATTTGGCTTACAGTTTCAGTTTATGGTTTCAGGTACTTCAAAAGATCATGGGAATGCGAATGCGTGATCGTGCACATCTTCCTGTTTTATGTCACTAGGTATTGGGAAAACTTTGGTTTTGAAATAATGCTTTTGAACAACGACTCTTTTGTAAACAATGCTGTTAAATGGTTGATTTTTAAAATTTTAAGTTTCTTTAATTTTTGGAGTGTTACAGTTACAGGTAGAAATCTTCTAAAAGAAAGATTAACATTAAAAGAAATTGACAAATAAAACTGAAATTGCATAAGGGGAAACCAAGAATAATCAGAAATTTAAAATATTGACCAAGATTAATCTTGAAGATGCATTAAGATAGAAAAAAGGTCTTGAATAATAAACATCTACTCACCATATTAGAGGTGCCAACCAATAAAGCATCATTGATACTAAGTCGCACAAATGGACCATTAATCGGAACTCAGGGAAGAATGATAGGTTGTATTTTATTCCTACTAAAAGAGTGGCGAAGTCGTGGGCAGCAGGGTCACCACCAATGTCGTTCTCTCTCTGAAATTGAACTCACAAACAAGAATAGGGTAAATAAAATATAGAGAATCACAATGCAGAAGGGATGGTTAAAGTTGTTGCTCTAGGGTTTTCGAAAACATCAAATTTCGAGTTCAAAACACTGGATGTGGAAGAGGGCGGTACTGGAGGTGGAAGAGGGAGACGTTGGAAGTGGAGGACAAACCTGAAACGAAGAGAAAATATATCCCTTTTCTTGGTAATTCTTTTCTGCACTTCGATTCAAGGAAAAAACAAAAAAGAACTCGACTCTCTTGTTGTTGCTAGTGACACACACACATAGAAGAATCGTTGTCTTTGTGAGGAAGAAGAATATCAACTTCATTATGAGGTTTGTGTGTGTCTTTGTGCGGCAGCCACACAACTAGGTTTTTAGGAGTAATTTCCTTACCATAAATACAACGGATTAAATATGGAAATTATTTTTATCATAGTTAAATATAGTCAAGATTACTGTTATACCATTTTATTATTTAATAAATAATTTAATTATTCATAATTTCTTATTGGTTCTTAGGTAGCAACATTTATATATATATATATATATATATATATATATATATATATATATATATATATATATAGGGTTGAGATCGGTTGAGAACTCATAGTTTCCCGACAACCCAAGAACTAAAAGTGGAGTGTTAGATCAAAACTAACTCATAAAGGGCATGATCGTCATCTTACCGATCTCATTTAATGTTTAATTTTTTTGCTATTGGAAATATTAATAAAAAGTTCTAAAAATCAACATAATAAATCAAATTTCGGATTTTTTAAAAATAATTTTATATTTTTTTAAAAAAATTGAGTTTTTTTTAATTTTTTTTCAAAAAACATGAATTTAAAAAAAAAAATTGAAAAAATAGTATTTTGAAAAAACTGCAATTTTTTTTAAAAAAAGCTGCATTTTTTTTTTCAAAAAACTACATTTTTTTTCAAAAATCTACAATTTTTTTTTTGAAGAAAACTGAATTTTTTTTAAAAAAAACTGTAATTTTTTTTAAAAACTGCATTTTTAAATAAAAACTGCAAATTTTTTTTTAAAGAAAACTGCATTTAAAAAAAAACTACAATTTTTTAAAAAAACTGCATTAAAAAAAACTGTAATTTTATAAAAAAACTACATTTTTTTAAAAGTAAATTTTTCAAAATCAATAAAAATACTATAATATTCGTAAATAAATCATAAAAAAATCTCATTTTTATTAATTAATCTATAAACATAATAGTACAGATATTTAATTCGATACAAAATAAAATATAAAAAATAAAAAAATGCTATAAATTTCAAAGCGTTTTCATGTCTTTGTGTCAATATTTCCTTATTTTTTCAATTTATCATTTTTCACTTCTTCAATATTCACCACAATTTCTTCCAAATCTACAAGAAAATTGAAAAAAAAAAAACTGATTAATGCAAAAATACATATGTTATTTTCATGTGATTAACATATGAATCACATGCGATTCATATATAAATCACATGCGATTCACATATGAATCACATACGATTCACATATAAATCACATTTACATATGACATCATATGTTAATCACATGTGATTCATATGTAAATCACATTTACATATGTGAATTACATGTGATTCACATGTAAATCACATGTGATTCACATGTGAATCATATGATTTACATGTGAATCACATATGATTTACATGTGAATCACATATGAATTAAATGTGAATCAAATGTCATTAATAGTTTCATTCAAAACATGAGTATATAAGAAATGATGATAAATAGTTTAATAAAATAGAAATTAAAAGATAATTTGGAGTTTGATGTTTATTTACCTCTATGTGTGTGAATATTGACAACAGATCTTTGCACTGATTAATCTTGAAACATTCGTTTGTTGTTGTGGTTGCTAGTTCAGATGCTAAAGCATTCACATGCTGCACCTGTTGAGATTTAGATGTAAAATAGAAATATTAAAATTGAATTTTCTATAATTTCCATCATCTAAGTCATACCATGTGGTCAACAACATCACAGGTTGTGGACTCAAGCAACTTATCACCATATGATCTGAAAATATCAGAAGTAGCCATGATAGAAGTTTTGCACAAAGCGCTTCTTGGATTCTTCATTGCCTTCACTAAAACCAACAAAACCTTTTCCCTGTATTCTTATAAAAACACCACATATTAGTAAACTCCACAAAATTGTTTTCTGGTGTTTAATACAATAAAAAAAGTATTGGTTTCTACATACAAGATCGGGAGCAATAAAGTGGAGTGAAACAACTCCATCCGCCTCACATCATTTAACGAATCATAAATCTTCAGCCAATCCTTGGATTCTAGTCCTTCAATTAGGCACTAAGCTCATAAAAATCAGAAAAAAATGAATCAATTTACACAATATCAAAGTGAAAGCAAACCATATAAGCTTTGAAAATGCTATCAAAACACATCTGTATAGTTTCAGATCCAGATACATCGAAAAAGTACAAAAAGAAGATAAGTTTAACAAATTGTGAACCTTCATGTCAATTTCCCCCAAAAATCAAGTCCAACTTATAGTTTACAAGTAAAAAATGTCACAAATCTAGAATGATAAAAAGACAGGGAAAAATCTTAAATCAACTTGATACAAATTAGTCGAGGACATTAAATTTTATTCATAAAGAATGCGATTCTAGTGTAAAGCAACAGAAATGAATTCCTTATGAGAGCAAGTCAACTAGATTTGAAAGGTCACTTACCGATTTATCATTGAATGAACTTCTTTTTGTTCAGCCGTCGTACTCAACAAACAAACACTGTGATCGACCAATTCTCCGGTGGATGACGCTGAAAAAATCAAAAAAACTGTGTTCTAGGGCTTTTATACAGCGGCGATGCAAGAGAATGTGGAGAGAAAGAGAGAGAGTCGGTGAGAAAGAGACATGTGAGAGGATGATTTAAGTCCAGATCTTGACGGAATTGTGGAGTAGCGGACGTTGTGGATTCCAAATTGGTCGGACACGAAATCGAGAGATCGGACGACAATGAAGTAGACGTTGATTTCTTCTCCGGTTGGAATGATGCTGGAAGAAAATGATAGACTTGAGACAACTAATAAAGTGAAGAAGACGGCGATTACCTTCTTTCCTGCGTTGATTTTTTCTCGATCGGTGGCGCCACCACCTGGATCTAGGAAACGGTGGTGAGGGAGGAAGTGAGAGAGAGCGTCCATGGTTTTCTGAATTCCAGTATCGACTGTGAGAGAGAAAGAGGGAATAAAGAGAGTTTTTAAAAAATCTAATTTGTCAGTAATTTTATTAAAGAAATTGTAATTATAAATTTGAGTCCTAAAATACCCCTTGCTAAGTTTATTAAGATACCCCTCCGTCTCTACTTTTCTATCTATTTACAAATATGCCACCAAGCATCTCAGCCATTTAATTTTTAATCTAACGCTCCACTTTTAGTTCTCGGGTTCTCGGGAAACTTTGAGTTCTCAAATGATCCTTCCTCTCTCTCTCTCTCTATATATATATATATATATATATATATATATATATATATATATATATATATATATATATATATATATATATATATATATATATATCTATATATATATATATCCCCTATTCTAATAAATAAAAGCAATTTTGCCACGTGTCATTGTATTAGCCACCCCCATCGATTTATCCCGCCTAAAATACTTAAGTGATTTTTCGAAACTACCCTCTGTGCCCTCTTATTCATTCGTTATCATCGAGAGACAGAAGCTCATCAATTTGAAACCCTAATATAGCCGCTCATCAGTCGCTGGCTCCCTCTCTCTCTCTCTGGTCAAAACCACCAATGCTACATGATTCTCTGCTCAAGAAAGCGGTAGCATCTCAACGAAAGAATACCATTTATGACGACCAAAGACTTACACACACAATATGTCTCTCTCTCTCTCTGGTTTACGATTAGAAACCACCACATACCTCAATGGAGAATTACTTTAGGAACGCATACAGAGGAGACACAGGGGTTCCACACTCCAGTCAAGAGAAATTCCTAAGCATATGGAAAGGTCCTTCTTAGGCTAACATTTTTTTAACCGCTCAAATTCTAGATGTCGTTCAGGAATCGCTGAAAACTTTCCTAATTTTTCCTTTTATACGGTTTGTTATTGTGTTCTTTGCTACCAAAAATCTAGCCTCCAAAATCATGAATCCATGATATTTTGAAGAGCCGAAGCCAAAAAAACGTGAATAATGAATAATGAAAGCATTGATATCAGGTTAGCTTCATCTCCAAAACCCATCTCAGCATTGTCGAATTAGGTTGTTGAACATAATTTTTGGATTTCGTTTTTTGGGTTTTTTAGTTTCCATGAACACCAACTGTTTGACAAAATGCCTCAATGACTAACATTTTTTCTACATATATTGTTGTTGATGACTATCTTTCAACGATTTTGTTGCTGGTATTCTTTTTTCTAATAGTGTATGTTCGTGTTTTCTAAAAAAGATTGATTTATTTTACTCTGTTGTAGGGACTTGGGTGTTATCTCTTGCATATGCCATTACTCAATTGGCTTGGATAGCGGGTAAAAAATCCAATCGAGAAATAAATCAATAAACAAGGGTTCAGGTAGGATCAGAATTGGACATTTAGATAAAGATTTG